TAACCTCGCCGCACTCCCAAGTCGGCGGTAAATGCGGCACGTATTTTCCTGACGTTAAAAAAAAAAGAAAAAGGCTGATACAAGCACTTGTGAAGGTCGAGAAGCTACGCCATCGGTTTGTTTAACTACAGCGGGAGACCTTCTACTGAGAAGAACCAGTAAGAAACTCAGCAAGGGCTGTTTTTCTCTCCCTGTATTATTATATACAAGTTGAAATTGATATTAATAATAGCCTTCCCGTGCACTTATATATTAACGTCATCTATACTATTATATACACAGGTTTAAATCGTATTTTGGTTCATATAAAAATCTTTAATCTGAAATATAATTCAAATATGTCAAGCCTTTTTTTTCTGTCACTTAAAAAACTCTTATAACACGCACGTACAAGTTTTTATTTCAATAATTTACAACACATACATTTTAAGATTATAGTAAAATAACAAGAAAACTTGTAGAAAAGTATATAGTAAAGATTGTATTATCGTTTTCGTTTTAAATTGCAAGAAGAAATGTTGCACATGTCCTATCCAATGTTGGTGAATCACACCCATGGGAACTCTGTGACACCGACGTTATTATCTCGTATTCGGAACCCGTTTAAATCAACCAACCCCAAAAGAAGATTTGCGCAAATGTATTCTATTCCCATACATGAACATTGTACCAGGGAGTTAGGGCACGTACACAGTCATAGCGAACCGTTTTACATGTCAGTTATTTGATTTGATGGAGTCTGAAGTTGTATAAAGCTACTTCACACCCGATAGTATTCCGGGTCCAGAAAAAATCCCACACACTATGGATATACTGAACGGGTAGCGTGTATTATTTATAATTTTGTAATTTGTTTTGACATCATTAATAAGAAGTACTTACTATATTCTCATCTATGTTGCTGGAGAGTATGCTTCCTAACAGGACCCCATAAAATCGTTAATAGCAATCAAACTATTAGTGTTTTTTTTTTTAATTTAATACAATTTTATATTTTTTTTAGTCGTCGTATTCTTGGTATTATAGATCTTGTCAGGGAGTATCACACGAAAACAATACCTAAGGAAGGTATATTTTGAGTATGTAATCACAGCTGTGAGAAGAAAGTAATACGATGACATGACATATATATAATATGCTTATATAAGTATGCTAACACAAAGTATTCAATGTGTTGAACTAGACTAGACAATAGCGATTATCTTAATAAGAAAGGATAAGTTACATCACGAACGTAATGACAAAAGACTAACAATGTATTCACTGTTTAATCATGTTTTGTTAGATGCCATGGCATAACATTCTAATCGACACTTGAAAGGTTCTGAAACAGGAGTACTAAAGAATGAATGCAATAGATTTTTGACAGTTCCTTTAACTTCGTCTTTAGCACAGACAAGTGTTTTTCTCTCTCATCATATTCTCTTACAAGTTGACAAAAAAATTTAAAAAAAGAAATCATTTATTGACCAACAACTTTAAAAATAAGGTCAACTAGGTCCAGTGTTGCCATATATACGGATTTGTGCGTATCGATACGAAATTTTGACACTTAAAGCGGATAATAAAAGCATACGGATTTTTATACGGAATTGACAGGAAAATGCAAACAGTAGTTTATAAATGTTTGGAGTCCCAATAAAAAGATTTTAATAAAACGAAACAATACACATTATTTGAACCTGCTTCAATACCAGGTATTTTGTGTAAAGTACAGGGGTAACATTAAAGGGAGGATAGGTTACTAGGGAGTCCGCTCGAAATATTTTGGTTGCTCGAGACTATGAGAGAAAGAAAAAGTTTAAAACAGTTAAAGTGATAATTTACTATTTTGTTTAGATATGAATTGAACCATTGTCTAAATTTTGTATGTATAATTTTGTATATATACGAAGGAGTTATTAGCAGGCAAGAGATAAGAAATGATTAAAAATGACTCAATATTTATAAATATACAAATAAATTAGTTGGAAATCGGTTTGATTTAATAATTTTAATAAAAAAATATTGATAAGTTTATACACATTACTAAATAGAGAATACATAATGAGGATTTTTTAAGAATTTTTCATAACAAATTTCTCGCAAAAAAAGTTCTTTAAGTGTTCTAAATGCTATTAGGCAAAGGTAGGTTAAAAAATTTATACGGATTTCATAATTTAAAAAGTGCCATTTCATACGGCATTTGGCAATGAAAATTACGAAAACGTGTATTTAAAATCTGGCAATACTGACTAGGTCCCTGCCTCAGCACAATGCCAAAACGAGTGATTTCTTCTGCAATTTAATGCAATCGTTATCAAAATACCTAATCTCTCAATGTTGCTTTTATAATAATTTTATACCAATTACTATTTCATCTCCTTAAAAGGTATCCAAAAGCGCGAAAGATTTATGTTAAACTTCAATTAATAAAAAAAGTTTTAGCTTTCCAGACTTTCTGAGCTTCTGATGTCTGTAGGGGAAATGAAAAGCTATTCTGCACTTAACCTAATTTGTAGCAAAGCTCCTGGGAACACCAAGCGCAAGGGGGTACTCGTATTTGTAAAAGGAAGGTTGTAATATAATTTACGTGGAATACAAATGGAACTCAGAGCCGTCTTTGCTCAAGCGTACCTAACTAAGCGCTTACACAAAGGATGGAAAGGTGGGTAGATAGTATAACTCACAGAAACGATTATTCGACATGATTTGAGTTTTGATGATTCGATCTTTATCATCAGATTCAATCATGAAAGCGTAAGCGTTGAGGTACCATAGTAATAATTTCGCGACAAATTTCTATACCAGAAGAAAGAATAGTTTAATAGTGAAAAAAATGTGTGTAGGTAAACCTGATGATATTTGCCTTTAGTTCCTTTTTTAAGTAAAATACAACACTAGTAACATGCTGTCAGGCCGTTGACTGTAATAAGGTATTTTCCATGTTAGTACTTGTCTCTTGAAAGACTCATTCAGTTATTCGTTTAAACCTAAACCAACGTGTAAGATTTGAAAGTGAAATAAATAACAAGAGAACCGGAATAACTTTTGAAAGAACAAACAAACAGCCTAATATTCATTTTCGGCATCATAATTCCTATAAGAAAGAAAGAAAGGAATGAGCAAGACTGTTCCAAAGAGATGCAGACGGATGAAACAATAGAACTCCCAAATAAAAGCTGAATAAAAACAGTGGCCAGCCAGATGTAACCGCCGAGCCGACTGCGTTTCTCTCTGATCAATGATGACAAAAAGAGACGGATGGGGGCCCAGCAAATAATGGAAACGCTCGCGAAACAGACAAAGGCAACGGAGACGGCTAACAATCTTACATCTAGCTAGGATAAATTCACGAAGAAATGGCGCATCTGTATGCAAATGTTTGCGGTTTGTCTGTTGTTGCAGTCCGAGGGATAAGAAGCGCTTCGGATTTCCAGATCCAAATTTGCAATGCAATAGAAAATAAGCTATAGCTGTTTAGTTAATATAGTGCAATTGAAAGTACATAAACCTTCTATTATTTGCAATGCTGATTTTGAGTAACTTTTCATTACATAGATAAGGGCACTGGTGACACTTTACGTCAACTTTAATTTTGCCATTTGTGATATTTATACTACATTATAACATAAAGATTGCAGCGACTTGAGCAACATGGTATTGATCCCGGCAAACTTTTTGAGCGACGACCATAGAGAAGGAAGTCTGCGCAGTAGTTATTTTACATACAAAAACGGCTACTGCTTTATTTGTCTGTGCTTTTGCTCAAGATGTTTGACGATACCTTGATAAAAAAACTTCCTGAGCATAAGCGGAGTACGCTGTCTCCTGGTCTATTAAACAAAGTTTGCCCTGTTATGAGGGTTTCCGATTGTTTTGTGGAAAGTTGAAATGTTTATCAATAAGATATTATTTCTATTTCTAGCTATGCCCCTTCCACAGGCTTGAAATCTTCGATCAACAATATTCAAATTGTAAACTTTTTTCAACGCAACTATAAATATTGAATACTAACAAAAGGACACAATTGACACCTTGGTCTGAAATAAAGCTTACTAAAATTCTTGTAAGAAAAGAAGGGTTCTTAAACGATATCGCTATAACGTAGAGTGAAAGAAATGCAAATTTAATGACCTTTCCTTCTCATACGAAAGAGGCAAGCTGTTGAAATACGAAATTTTCAGCAACGCTTATCTTGGGATAAACTAAAAGGATGGTGATACTTATCTCTAAATCTGACAGTAGACTTAGTAAAGTGCCGGTGACAATGTAGACAACGGTCATGCTTCGATAGCCGGCCGTTGACATGCCTAAACCGCAGAGCATTGTTTTTTCATGGAAAATGTCTTTCATCTGCTGTAGACTCGAGCTCAAGTTACAAAACCGGAATTATATATAAGTAGATAGTAATAGGTGTAACACCTTAACGCTCGTCGAATCTTATTTGATCGATTCGCCATAATACAATACTTACTGCTCCATTTTTAGTCGCCATACGTTGAAATCTACAAGTGAACAGCGGCCAAATAAAATGAACACTAGGCACTTAACCAAATTGTGTATTTAATTTGACAAAAAAAATATATCTATGTATCTAATCGAATCATTTTGCAACAATTCATGTACATAATAATGCAAGACAGATTGCACCAAACCACCAAAATGTTGGGTCTACATTTTTTGATGGTATGCGAAGATTTGAAAGTAAAATTCTTCATTAAATTAGTATTAAGTTCTAACAACTTTGACTAGAAATCGGATTGAAAGTATTATAGTATAACAGAAGTTGTAGAAGTAAAGCTTAAAAATTCCAGTCGCCCTTCCTTAACAAAAGCTTATCTAGCCTTAAAAAAATTAACTAGAAATATCAGTAATTTTAATAACTTATTATACATTAACCAGCGAAAATTCATAACTATTTAAATGTGACAAGGTTGAAGATAATCTCTTAAAAAATAAAAGCAAGGCCACCCTGCATTTGTTGTGGGAATTAAACAACAGATGTCGATAAAACTTACCAGAACTTGAGCGTTCCCATTCCTGTCGTCAACCCAGGCGACAACCAGATCAGCGCCTCTCATGTTTCTTGCCGAGTTGAACCCTAAGCCGACGTAACCATGCGTTCTCGCTTCCAATCTGAACGTGATACTCGAATCGGAATTCACCCATCTAAGTAGTACATCTCCGTTGTCGTCTAATCTCTCCGAATGAGCCCATATCAAACTTGATTCGTAAGACTTCGAGTCGAACACGTCTCGCCGGTGCCTAACTTTGTATTCATTAATTATTCTACTTGTTTTCGGACTTTTCCTCTCTGGCTGCTCTGGCTGTGGTGATAGCCATGCTGCCTGCGCGTTCTGTGTGGGATTAAGCGGAAGCCCATTTGGCTGTATGTGCTGCCTAAATCTTGGCAGCTTTGCATCACAAACTAAGATTACGCTTAGAGTTAGGAAGATTTTCAGATTCATTTTCTGGCTTTTTTAATGTCGTTGGATCATTACTTATGATGGAGCACCTGGAACAAAAGGAGAAACAAATTAATTTAACTCAATCATAACAAATATTGTAACATACTAAAGGATTAAGACAGCATTTACGAAGAGTCACTAGTCTAAATACAAGCCTATTAGTCATAACAAGCTCCATTTAAGCGGTTAAAATATAAACTACATTAAATGCTGCAGCAGGAGGATGTGGCCGTGAAACTGGTCTCATTTCCGGCGTGAACCCTTACTATTGTCGATAGATCAACTCGAATGAGAATGAACGTTGCTTACGAGAGTATTTCGAGTATGTGTGGCGCACACAACCGCATCACCGAGTTCACACGGCAGACAAATATTTACAAATATACGACAAGCGTCAATGTAATTACCATAAATACCTATGTACCTATAGTGAATTTTAGAGCCACAGAGTTAGCCAACTAACGGTTGAAATTTATTTTACTAATTATTAGCTAATATAGACAACATCCAAGTTTATGAATGTACAGTACAATAGTAATAGAGATATCCTACATCATTTATAATTACTTAAAAAATTAAAGGTATGAAGGCAGTAGAAAGAGTATACGAATTTGTAGAAATTAATATGCTAATTACATCGTCGATGATAATAACTTTCGGCAACGGAATGGAATCATGTAATTTATTCGGTTAGATAATTAAGTTACTCCAGATTCGTTTGGAAACAATTGCGGAGTTCTCGTTCTCATATATATACTATACATACATACCTAAATAAATTATAATTAAAGCAGCGAGCCGTCTCAAAAGGAAGTATGAAAAATAAACGTGAGAATTTCGTTGCGAGCAAGAAAAAAAATATATCAGACGCGCCATCTGTTCCTCGGAGGCGGTACAGTACAGATCGCAACACGAAATTTACGAGCGAATCTGTGAATAAATCACAAGGACGCTTTTTCTTGCACACACAGCAACTTCTTCTACTTAAGTCATCGAGGACTTTACAGCTCAATCGGATGAGATCGTAAAAAAGTACCTTCCCCTGCTTAAGAGCTGACGGAGTCGAATAATTTCTATGATCCTATTGATTTCTTAGATTTTAAACTTGATATACCTTAAGTAACCCAAAGCAATGTTTACGTTCATAAATTTACAAAGAAAAACACTCTTCTTCTAAGATTACTCAATCAAATTAAATCAGATATAAATTGTTGTTTGTTGCAGTTGTGGCGGTTCGACTCTTTGTGTCTGCAGTTGTAGGCAACACTTGATTAACAAATTTTAGTAGCGAATTATGACACATCATACTTAATTAACATATAAACGTTTGAATAAGATTGAATTGAATATGTATGTTTTAACCAGTTTAGACTATCCATAGAATTTCGAATAACATTTCAGTGTCGTGTTATTGAAAAACTTCAAATAAGCAATGCTATTTTTGAATGTCGATAGAATTAATTAATTAATTTCCTATCTCTTACCAAGCACTGCAATAGCTAAACCAAAATTCGGTATCATGTTAGAAATGGAACGGAAACGCGAACGCCTTAAAAACCAGCATTTGCGGTCTACAGCGAAACGAGATAACAGATCATTATCCACTTATTGGGAGGAAGTTAAAACCGGCGTCAGCCCGTAATAAAAACATCGAGTTCTTTTTTATAAAACTCGCTCGGTGGACGAACTAGGCAAGTTTTTATTTTTACTTTCATCAATTCGGAATCGCTGCCTTCACGGACAAAACTTTGTACAGACATAGATTTTAGATCATGTTCTTTACTTCCGGACGAAGCCTTACTATAACGAGGTCTGAGGTGAAAAAAACACAATGCTTCGCATGACAATCGATGCGTTAAACCACGATTAAAACCGCAGTGTCATTTAGTAAAGAACAATTTACGTTCCCATACTTATATGAATAACGGTGGATGATCTTAGAACAAATTACTTGATAATACCACAAACAAGAGAACAACTAGTCCGTATCGAATCAAATTGGGAGGCATTAGTGCAAGGCTGCTCAACCTTTTGAAGAGTCGGGCCAAATGGTAGATTTAGTCGTTAACGACGGGCCACTTACATTTCCTATTTCAGTTACTCTCAGGATTAGCGCAATATAAACTCAATAATTATGAATATAAAATTGAATTATTGTTTATTAGGAACAAAGAGTATCTTATTCTAAATATTATTATTATTAAAAAAGAAACAAAATTTGAATTATGTAAGTACCTGTGTATGTATCTTCTCAAATTTAAATCAACTTTTATGCAGTTCGGTATTTACATACTCTTTTGAGTTCACTAGCTACCAAGTGGCCTTGTTCTGAGAAGAACGGGCAAGAAACTCAGCAAGTTGTTTCCTCCCTTACAAAAAATATTTGTTGTTTGAAAGATTTTACAGTGTGCAACTGCAAACTAAGCAAAGAAAAATGCTATTGTTAATATTATACAAAGACTTTTACAAACTGTAACATATTCCAGTACAAAATAGAGAAAAAAAATACGTGTGGCACTCGGGGACTGCCGCGGTAAAGCTATTGCATAGCATTTTTTATCAATTTATGCAATTATAATTATTTATTTATGCAGTTTTTTCTTTGATATTAATTCATGTTAGACTTTTTGAACGTGGTGACCGATAAGAAAACAATTTTTTTTTCCATCTCCTTCATGCAGTCGGCCAGCATACTTTTTATATCACTGGTGTGATTATTTCTGGCGGCGTTCTCCTTGGCCTTACCCTAGACCTCATCTTCCTTTGGAGAGCCACTGGCCAGGTCGACCGGTTCCCGCACAGCAACCGGTTTTTCGGGCTCAGAAGATTCGCTGATACCATTTACAGGCGAACGCTTGTGGTCACCCCTGCGTGTGCTCTTCTTGCAGTTCGGACATATCCAGTCCTTGACGACACTCGACTTTTCCGGGATGGCGAGGCAGGCCTTATTATATTTTATTGGGCAAGCACAGCAAACAACAGCATTGCCCGGCGCCAAAAAACTTCCACAAGCTCCACAGTTTACCATCTTTAGTCCAAAAAATTTAATTATAATTATAAAGTCTAAATAAAAGGGAGACAAATAAAAATAAGAACAGGTGCTGGGGTCTAAAACAAATATATAAAAAAAATAAAAAAATAATAACTAAAAATAAAAAATACGAGTGCAGGATTTGAACCGACGACCGCGGTGATGCGTCGAACGTTAGTCCCGTGGCAAAAACTTAACACACTGCGCCGTTTAGATTAACATTAGATTGGCGAAAATTGTGTTCTATTGGTATATGCACTATCGCAAGGTTTTTTCGTTACAGATTTTTTTGATTCGGTCCCCGCGTTCAAAGCACGCGATAAAAGCTATACAATAGCTTAAAAACTAATTTATATTTACTTTATTTATTACAATCAATGTGACTTCTGCCATTGTTTGTCTTTTAATAATTTATTTATATTTGGCGACAAATCCGACGTTGACAGTAACAACAAGTCACAAATATGTTGCTCAGTTAAGGATGTGCGATATTTATTTTTTACAAAATTTAGATCTGAAAAAACCTTTTCACAAACATATGTTGAACCAAAACTACTTATAAACTGTAACGCCAGGTCAGTTATTGCTGGAAATTCTCCTCTTGGTACCAGTTTCCAGAATTCTGCATAATCTTCTGAAGAATTTTGTGCTTTCGACAATTTGTTAGCAAAAAGGTTTTTTAACATAATGTGATTTTGCAGTTCCACAAGTTCTAATTGAATATTTGCAGGATAAGTGACTATTTCAGCCAAACTTATCATGAAAGGATTTAAAAATATTTGTAAATTTTGTTTTTTACTTTCGAAATCTTGAAATCGCGACTCAAACGACTGTGATAAGCTTTTAATTTTAGATTGGTATTTAGAGTAATTAATAGAAGCAATATTGAGCTCATCTTTCAAATGTTTTAGTGTGGGGAAGAGATCAATGTTTTCTGTCGCCAAATTAATTGTAAAGAGATTTAATTTTGCTTTGAATCCGCTTATCATATTAAACATAGTCGGAAGTGAACAATCTTTACCCTGTAATTTGAGATTCAAAATATTGAGGTAATTCGTAATATCAACAAGAAATGCAAGATCACTCAACCAGGATGTATTCTTCAGTAAATCAACTTCCAATGGTAAAGCCTCTTTATGCTCTAAAAATTCCAACACCTGTTCTCGCAAGTTGAAGAAATGTTTCAACATACTGCCCCTTGAAAGCCATCGCACAGCACAGTACAGTTGTAACTCTCCATATTCTTTGATTTCTTCTTCAAATAATAGTCTGAATTGACGTCTGTTAAGAGCTTTTGCACGTATGTAATTTATGCAGCGTATTACTGGGTCCATAATGTCATTCAACTCCATATCCTTGGCACACAAGGCTTCCTGGTGGATAATACAATGATACGAAAATAAATTACGACCTAAGAAATTCTGTAACAAAGCCACACAGCCATTGTTTTTTCCAATCATTGCTGGTGCACCATCAGTGCAAATAGATATCAATTTGTCCCACGATAAAGTATTTTTTTCAATGCATTCCTTAATTTTCAAAAATATGTCTTTTCCTTGGGTTGTGCTTTCTAGCTGACAGACTTCTAGTAAATCTTGCAATACATTCCAATTTTCGTCAACACATCGCACAAAAATAGCCAACTGAGATCTACTCGTTAAATCGCAAGTTTCATCTAACGCCAATGAGAAATATTTGCACTTAGCTACGATTTCTTGAATCTGCTCCTTGATGTCAACTGCCATTTGCTCCACCCGTCTCGTGACAGTGTGCCGTGAGAGTGAAATACTGTCCGCTTTAGCTTTGACGTGTTTATCATCACAATTTTTTGCAAAGATCGTCAAAGCCTCTTTAACAATCTCTCCATCGGAAAACGATTTCTTCTTTTTCGCTAGGAGCAAAGAAATCTCGTAAGATGTTTTAACCATGGATTCAAGCTCGTCGTGCTTTTTAACGAAAATATTCTGTTGGTTAAATAGGTCCCGTTTCTTTTTCTTTAAAAAATCTTCTCTGATA